GGAAAGTGTTGTCTGTTGGGACTCGATAACAATATTGCTACCGTTTATCGCTTATATTTCATTTTTTGAGTGGAGCTAGTGGTGAGACATGAGAGGAGTTAATCGTACTGAACTAAGGACATTCGTCACTGTCTGCAAAGCTTTAAGTTGCTAGATACATTGTGAGACATTCGGAACCGTACGAATTTTAAGTTGGCTTCACTGCAACCTCTCAAAGGCATGCTTGTCCTCTGGAATGAATCACTACATACAAAAATCTGTATCAGTCTTTACAAACACAGTTCATAGGCATGTGCTGATTAAAAATTTTACTTAATCAGCTAATCGAATTACGTAAAATAATTATGTTTGAAAATTCTACGATACACCGATGACCAAATGATAATAGCAGCCATCCGAAGAGTTGTTCGAAAAGAGTCTGGAAAACACCATTAACAAGGCGGCACAATCGGTCCAAAAACATGACTTAATCAACAGCATAAAAGCGTCAGGTCGAACTACTTCATGAAAAACCAATTACAAAAGAGTACTAACAACCGACAGGAGAACACTAGCTGAAACAGGGAATGAACCTGGTGTCGCTGATCGCACTATTAAGTATCCTGATGTACCCATGAACGATCAGTTAGAGCGGAGTGCCACATCACGTGAGTGTTCATCAAGAATGAAAGGGTTCTTGTCACCTAATAAGGCTGCTGGTTCTCAACTCCACCTTCCTTCGGGAAATATGGCTCGACTGTTTCGGTTCGGTTGGTGCCGCTGATCACTCATTCCGGGCCCTTGGTTTTCTTCGGATTCCGGAAGAATGATATGCCATCTTTCGCGTGGCAGTTCTGCTGAACAGTCGCGTCCGCAAGATTGACCGTGTAAAGATTTGTGGACGTGAATAACCTCCACAGCCATCAAAGCAGTGACGCGGTTAGGGTGAACGGTACAGAGTGACGTCAACCATTCACGGTGCAAGCAGTCTGTAAAGACTGCTTCAGTGCATCCTGGACCCAGAAGCTCAGTAAACGCCTCCACATAGGTCAAACACTGTATCGCAGCACCTGCCTTAATCTCCAGGATTTTCAGAGAATCGAACGAGCAAAAACAATTGACGGTAGAAAGAATCGCGGAAGACGATTCAGAGGGACAACGACCTTCTCTTTCCTATAAATTTACTCAGCGTAGCCACTGAACTCACTGGTATGAAAATACCATCCTCTACTGATAACGGCTTTGTTGCCCAAGCAAATAAACTCAATCTAATTTAATCTTAAGTATAACAAATAACGCAAAATTTTGTACGTAACAGTATTCACGAACGCTGCCTGCGTAAATTTCGAAAACAAATCAGTACACATGTAATTGTTGCAGTTTTAGGAACTAAATGACGTTTGTTAGTAAAAATAATAGTCTTCTTTTTCCTAGCTTATTTCCTTTAACAGCGGTCTCCTGTATCCATATTTATCGGTCTTAATCAAATCTTCGGTCCCTCCTAGCAGATTCATATCGTTCTTCACAACATCTGGCCATCTTTTCTCCTATCCTCGTCTATCTGCAATTGATCAACTTTTCTGCAAATTCGGCAAAGGGTTCAAATGCCTCTTATGAAGGCACTCCTAATGTGGTAGCTTTTGCTGAGTTCACGTATGTCTCCAAGTGTTCGCATTTCTATGCAGTTAAGCAGTTGCTCGGGCGTCTTCAGTGTAGCCAAACACTCCTCTTCGTACAGACGCATAGATCATACTATCGGTTTGCAATCCCTCCCTTTTCCTTCATGAATATCTTCTTATCGCACATTACGCCATTTGCCTCTATCCATTTTGACCGATTTCTTAATTTACTGTCGGTTTCGTCGTTGTATTGAAGCAGAGAATCAACGTTTATGAATTCATGGTTTAAAATAACACAAATCCGCTGCTTTCACTGTTTCACTGCCATTACATCCGTTTTCGTTACCGAATTCATTCGTTATGTAGGCCAATTCGACATTGTTGTGCGTTATATAAACAGTTATAATTCATACATTAATAATGTATATATATGAGCATTTTTTGCCCCTCACTTTTGACGGACTGCCGTTGCAAATTCATCTACAAGCAATGCATTTTTTCCTCCATGTCATGGACGACGAAAAAGTCGACCTCTAGAAAGGTAATCATACCTAAAAATCTGAAATGGGGAACGGTCAAGGACATCGTGTATTTAAACGACTGAAAGGAAAATCGCGAAATGTTTTCATACAAAAAGTGTTCAGTCCGAACAGAGTATGTCGCCTAAGTAGTTTATCGAATTATAACTGTCGACATATTATTACTTTTGATAAGTAGTATCCCTGAAAATCGTCTAACGACTTTTTCACAACCAAAGGGTCTTTTACACAAATAAGGTAGATCTACCGTATTGGTAAAAAGCAAATCATCAACAGCGCTTTCAACTTCAGACTCAACTACCTTTCTGATAAAGCCCT